ATGCTGATGAAGAAAATAAACTCATGAGTGAATGACCATATCTAGGACTGAGTGGGATTGTTTTCAAAAGGTAAAAATGCTTAGTTAGTGATATGTCGTCAGAGTTGCATTATACTCCTCATGTCATTGCTCTAATACATGTTCATCTGAATCTTCTTTTAACAGTCAGCCGATACATTTTACCAAAAAAGAGGTAGATGACAAATGAGCATGTGAAAACATACTCAAGATCAATAGAGCAATGCAAATGAAACCCACAGTCAGATACCACTATAAACCTACCTGGGACAGCCACCATTAAAGAAAACAGGTGACAATACAAAGTTCTGGCAGATGGCAAACAACTAGACTCTCCCATATTGTTGGTGGGAATGCAAAAGAATACAACCATTCTCATAAACGTTTGGTCATTTATTAAAAGTTAAACATAGGGGAGCCTGGGTGGTGCAGTCAGTTAAGCATCTGACTTCGGTTCAGGTCAATGATCTCACGGTTCGTGAGTTAGAGCCCCGTGTTGGGCTCTGTGCTGACAGCTCAGAGCCTGGAGGTTGCTTCGGATTCTGTGTCCCCCTCTCTCTCTGCCCCACTCCTGGTTGCACTCTGTCTCTCTCTGTCTCTCAAAAATGAATAAATGTTAAAAAAATTTTTTTTAAACTTAAAGAGTAATTTAATTTTTAAGAATATTCCACAGATATGGGGCACCTGGGTGGCTCAGTTGGTTAAGTGTAAAACTCTTGGTTTCAGCTCAGGTCATGATCTCACAGTTCATGAGTTTGAGCCCCACATCACACAGGCGGTGTGGAGCCTGCTCAGGATTCTTTCTCTCTCCTTTTCGCTCTGGCCCTCCACTGCTCATGCTCTCTCTCTCACTCTCTCCCTCTCTCTCTCTCTCAAAATTAACAAATAAAAAAAGGAGAATAGCCCACAGATAGGAGTGTCTGGGTGGCTCAGTCTGTTAAGCATCCAACTCTTGATCTCAGCTCAGGTCTTGATCTCAGGGTTGTGAGTTCAAGCCCCATGTTGGGATCTATGCTGGGCATGAAAGTCTACCTTAAAATAAAAAAGAATATTCCACACATACACTCAGGAAACTTCAAGTAAACAATTTCTATCTGTCAAATCTATTCATGTAGTAACCTCACCTGACCTTGGTATAATAATCAAGCTCAGATCTCTAGGATTTAAATATTGTCTAGTTGAGATGTGTGTGAGCTTCTCCCTACAGAACACAGACTTGGCACATCTAAATCAGGCCATCCTGTGAACAGATCACGGGACACATTCATGGCCCACCCATCACGGCACGGGTGCAACCCTTCAGCAAATAATACATTAAAATTCAAAATCTAAAGGCTGTTTCTCTAATCCTGCCCATGAAATGTCAACATATGTGTTACAGTTCATGGGACGTGAAAAAGCTCAACTCTAACCGTTTTATGATGGCGAGGTATTTTGCCTTAAACAATATATTAAGAGTTTGCTATGTGCTTTTACACGCGTTATCTTATGTGATCTCCATAACCACCTCAGTATGCAGAGTATATTGCTGTCCCTATCACACATGAGGAAACTAAGGCACAGAGATGTGAGTAATTTGCCCATAGCCAGTTAAGAGGTAGGGCCAGGATCTGAACCCAGGTGGTCTAACCCTATAGCCCCCTCCTCTCAATCAGTCATTCAACAGATACAGGAGTACCTGACAGAATCTGGAGACAAAGAGATGCATGGCCCCTGCCCACGTGGAGTTCATAGTCTATAGGAATGACAAGTATCGAGTAATTACGAGTAGATGAACAAAAAGCACAGAGGGCTACGGAAGTTCATACCCATGCCTACTAAAAAGACGATGGTACAAAGTATGTGGTCATATTAATATCAACTACCAAGGTCAAATCTATAAGCCCACATATTCAGGAGAAAACACAAACTAGGAAACACTAGCATCTCTGATATTGTATGTATATACTGGTGTATATACGTACAGAGGTCATTTTCCAAGCCCAGGCAGGTTCTGATAAATAATTTTTTTCTAATACATTAACTGATTTACATAAAAAATATTGCCCAGGCTTTACAGTTAGGTCAAATTAACAACATATATTCATTTAATCATCTTCATTTTAAAAGAATAAAACCTGAGTTCCTGGGTGGCTCAGTTGGTTCAATGTCTGACTCTTGGTTTCAGCTCAGGTCGTGATCTCCCAGTTTGTGGGATCGAGCCCTGATTTGGGCTCTGTGCTGACAGGGCAGAACCTGCTTGAGATTCTCTTTCTCCCTCTCTCTGCCTCTCCCCAACTCACATTCTTTCACTCTCTCTCAAAATAAATTTAAAAAGTAAATTAAATTAAATTAAAAACCTAAAATCTATAAATTCCGGTACTGCTTGGAAAAATCCAAGATTCCTGGTTGTTTTAACTATAAGATAGCTCTTGCACATAATAATTCTCTGATAGATGAACATTATACTCTAGAATAGGTTTCTCTGATAGATGAACAAACTTTATACTCTAGAATAGGTTTCTAAGAAGCAGCTTCCTCGTTTGTATGAGGAAAGGGTCTGCCTTAGCCATAAGGAGCCCAGAATCTGGCTTCAAACCAACCTGGACTGGATTCCAGGTCTGTCACTTACTATATAATATCGAGCAGGTTTCTTAGCTCCTACAAGTCTTGATTTCTTCATCTGTAAAACGTGATAAAAATGGCTCACACGTCAAGGGAGCATCACAAAGATGAAATGAGAAAATACATGTAAAAGTGTTTAGCACCGTTCTTGACCCATAGTATACACCTAACCTACGGGAGCTGCCATTATTATATTATTACTATCCCTCTATGTGGTTTGAATATTGAAAAAAAGAGACAGAGAAAGAGAAGAAATAGTAAAGGGACGGTGTGTGAATGAAATGTTTGAAATTGTTAGGGAGAATGGTCTCAGAGGGCCCGGTGATAGCAGGAAGGTCAGCAGTGTGGGAAGAATCAGAAAAACCCTACATGTGGAGCCCTCATTGGAAAGGAGAGGACAAGCTGATAGGAGGGCAGTAATTAGATAGCTAATTTGTGTTTAAGAGAAGAGAGAACTTCGGGCACGTGGGGGGCTCAGTCAGTTAAGCGTCTGATTCTCAGTTTCAGTTCAGGTCATGATCTCAAGTTTTGTGGCTTCACACCCCACATCTGGCTCTGTGCTGACAGTGTGGAGCCTGCTTGGGATTCTCTCTCTCTCCCCCTGTCTCTGCACCTCCCCTGCTCACTCTCTGTCTCTCTCAAAATAAATAAGTAAACTTTAAAAAAAGAGAGAACAGAGGGGCACGTGGGTGGCGCATTCAGTTAAGCATCTGACTTCAGCTCAGGTCATGATCTCACAGTTTGTGGGTTTGAGCCCCATGTCGAGCTCTGTGCTGACAACTTGGAGCCTGGAGCCCGCTTCAGATTCTGTGTCTCCCTCTCTGCCCCTTCCCCGCTCACACTCTATCTCCCCAAAATAAGTAAACATTAAAAAAATTTTTTTAATTAAAAAAAAGAACAGAGAACTTCAGTGTGAGTGATTAAAACAATAATCCAACTCTGGTTTTCTCTCATGCCTGAGCAGCACTTAGAACACGTCAGTGGAGAGAAGAGACTGTTTAAACTAGCAAGTGTTTCCGTACCTGTCCTAACTGTCCTCATCTTCTATCGACAGGTATACATGAGCTTTAGGTAAAGCAAACCTCGGTTCACAGGCACATGATAAAAGTCACAAGACGGAAGGGGACTCGGCAATTCTGGAAACTGGTGGTTTGCAAGTTTTTTAAGCCACAGAACCTTTTAACACAAGAAACAGATGAACAAAAAGGTAAAAATGTGCAGCTACTCAGACCCCAGCAGAGATGGGGTCCCAGAGGCCAGGCAGCTCGGGTCACCTGCCCACCCCCGCACACTGCCACCCCTGAAGTACATAACCTGCTGCAGAGGCGTGGAGACTGATGGTCGAAGGGCAGAGGAGACTTCCACGAAGGAGCAACTGAAGGCACAGGTGGAAACAGAATCCGACCAGTTTTCCCATGGCCAGTCAGGTTCTCTTTTTACCACCAAATGCTACCCTCTTGACTGACGTACCAAAAAGGAGAAGAAGAAAGTAAACCATGTTTGAGAAGAATATGCCCCAGCACAGGAAAAAATAAAAATAAATATGGAAGGCTGGTGAGCACTAAAGCCTGGCACTGACAGCTTGGGCTCAACTAATCTGCACGGGAACAAAACGCTGCCCCATCCAGGGCCGACTCAAGCTACCAAAACAGTTTTTTGAATGTTAAAACAAATTAAGCCAAAAAAAAAAAAAAAAAAAAAAATGGAAAAGAAAAGGCTTCGCAGTGAATTCACAGTGAATACCTAACAGATTCACATTTACAACTATATTGCATATGCATGCACACAATTATAGGGGAGGAAGTCTAAGCCACATTAATGGGACTGAGGGGGAATGAAAGAAGGGAGTGAACAGCCAACAAAATTAACTACAGTGACTAATGGATGAATTACAGTCTTATGATGCTGGGCATGATACAGTGTTTTGTTCTCAGAACCTCGGCTTAGATCATTTGTACTTTAAAGCGTCTGTATGCTAAAATCAAAGGTCAAGTTAAATGCTTGCTTCTTAGACTTGTATGTTGTGGAGTTCAGAGTTCATTTAAACACGGGTAAATTATTTTCTAAAGCACCATCACTTCCCCCTGTTTAAGAAACCCATGACATACATACAGTCTCAATAGCCAGCTTCTTCATGGCCTGTGCAAATTCGGTTTCCCAGGTGGCTCACTAGGCCTGAGGCTACGGCCGTACAAACCAGAAGATGGGGAGAAATCCTGTGGCCCTGCAGCCCATGAGACTCCATTATTCTTCATTGCAGTTTCACCTTTTCATTGCATAAAAGGAGGATTTATGGGCTCCAGAGAGAAACTACCCAGTCGTTCGACACAGATTATGTGCTGGCATTAGGCACATCACATCCCTTAAGAGCATCTCACCTCCTCCAGCTTAAAAACCGCTCCGATGTGTGGCTGGATGCGCCCTTGCTGGCAGTACTGAAGAGCAGAGGACAGGATTCTGGAGAAGATGGGAAAGTTCTGCTCTTTGTATCGGCCCCAGTACAGCCCCATAGCAGAGACATTCTTCAGGAGCAGAAGGTTGGCCGGCACAGAAGCAATGGTTCCTCCAGCAAAACCCACCACCACAATCCTGCCCTCCCAGGCCAGGCTGAGGGAAGAAAAGAGAAGAAGAAGAAATTATACAAAGCAATGTATATTCACATTCATTGGAATGGCTACTATAAAAAACAACAACAACAACAGGAAATAACAAGTGTTAGCAAGGATGTCGAGAAACTGGAACCCTCGTGTACTGTGGGTGGGACTGTGAAATGGTTCAAGGGGAAAACAGTATGGAGGTTCCTCAGATAACTAAAAATGGAACTTACCATACAATCAGGCAATGCCATTCTGGGTCTCTATCCAAAATAATCGAAAACAGGGTCTTTTTCTTAAACTTTTTTTAAAGTTTAGTTATTTACTAGAGAGAAAGAGAGAGCATAAGCGGGGAAGGGACAGAGAGAGGGAGACGCAGAATCTAAAACAGGCTCTAGGCTCTCAGCTGTCAGCACAGAGCCCGACGCGGGGCTTGAACTCACGAAATCCGAGATCATGACCTGAATCGAACTTGGACACTTAACTGACTGAGCCACCAGGCACCTTGAAAATAGGATCTTGAAGAGATAGTTTTACTCCCACATTCATAGCAGTACTATCTACAATAGCCAAGAGGTAGAAACAACCCAAATGTCCCTGAACTGATAGATGGATAAACAAAATGTGTTATATACATACAACAGAATATTATTCAGCTTTAAAAAGGAAGGAAATCCTGGGGCACCTGGGTGGCTCAGTCGGTTGGGTGTCCGACTTCGGCTCAGGTCACGATCTCGTAGTTTGTGAGTTCGAGACCCGTGTCGGGCTCTGTGCTGACAGCTCAGAGCCTGAAGCCTGCTTTAGATTCTGTGTCTCCCTCTCTCTCTGCCCCTCCCCTACTCACACTCTGTCTCTCTCTTTCTTTCTCTCTCTCAAAAATAAATAAACATTAAAAAAAATTAAAAAAAAAAAAAGGAAGGAAATCCTGTCACATGCTATGTCATAGATGAACCTTGAGGACATCATGCTAAATGAGATAAGCGAGTTACAGAAAGACAAATACTGTAGGCTTCCACTATTTTGAGGGATCTAAAGTAGTCAAAGTCATAAAAACAGAAAATAAAGTGGTGGTTACCAGGGGCTGGGTGGAGGGAGAAATAGGAATTGTTTAATGGGTAAAGAATTTCAGATTTGCAAGATGAAAAAAATTGTGGAGATCTACCTTGCAACAATATAAATATACTTTACGCTATGGGACTATATACTTAAAAATGGTTAATATAAAAAATAGCCACTATAGCAAATTTTATGTTATTTTTTTTTTTTTTTTTTTAAGCAAAAAAAAAAGAATTAAAAAAAAAAAAAAAAGCAATCTACATTAATTCATAGAGATAAAAAGTAGAAGTTATCAGGGAGGTGGGGGGAGGGGGAGAGGGACAGTTATTATTTAACAGGTATAGAGTATTAGTTGGGGACAGTTACACAACATTGGGAGCATACTTAATGTCACTGAATTGTACATTTACAAGTGTTTAAAATGATAAGTACTAAGTTATGTATATTTTACCACAACTTAAAAAAGCAGCATGCATTAAGCCCCCAGCTAGGAATTCCTCTTAACTTTATACAAACTGGCAGAGGTGACCCGCCCTGTATCGCTCTGCATTCTTCAGTAGAAACCATAAAAATAAGTCATAAGCAAGACAGTAGGAGGCCAGAGGAATGAGCCAGTTTTATAAGAGGACCGACTTTAGAATTAAGGCTAGGGGAGCACGTAGGTGGCTCAGTCAGTTGAGGGTCTGACTTCAGCTCAGGTCATGATCTCACAGTTCCTGGGTTCGAGCCTTACGTCGGGCCCTGTGCTGATAGTTCGGAGCCTGGAGCCTGCTTCTGATTCTGTGTTTCCCTCTCTTTCTGTCCCTCCCCTGCTCATCCTCTAACTCTCAAAAAAAAATAAAATAAAATAAAATAAAAATAAAAAAAAAAAGAATTAAGGCTATCTATTTAACTACTCCTCTACTTCATAAAAGGAAACATTCTATATGCTATACTTCAAGACAACTCAGGGATGTCTGGGTGGCTCAGTCAGTTAAGCATCTGACTCTTGATTTCTGCTCAGGTCACGATCTCACGGTTCATGGGATCGAGTCCCACCTCTGGCTCTACACTGTCAGCACAGAGCCTGCTGGGGATTCTCTCTCTCCCTCCCTCTCTACCTCTCCCCTGCTTGCTTGCTTTCTCTCAAATAAAAATAAATAAATTAATTAATAAAAAATAAAAAATAAAAAAGACAACTCAGTTTGAAGATCTTGAACTTAGGAACAGTAATAAAAAGATAGGTACCTTAATGAAACATCATTTGCTTTGTAAAAAAGAAAACTAAAAAAAAAAAAAAAAAAAAAAATTAAAAAAAAAAAAGGGGTGCCTGGGTGGAGCAGTCGGTTAAGCGTCTGACTTCAGCCAGGTCACGATCTCGCGGTCTGTGAGTTCGAGCCCCGCGTCAGGCTCTGGGCTGATGGCTCAGAGCCTGGAGCCTGTTTCCGATTCTGTGTCTCCCTCTCTCTCTGCCCCTCCCCCATTCATGCTCTGTCTCTCTCTGTCCCAAAAATAAATAAACGTTGAAAAAAAAAATTTTTTTTTAAATAAAAAAGAAAACTTACTTTAGGAGTCCTTTAAGTTATGTGCTTCTCTAGAGAATTTTGAATAATCTATAAAAATTCACACAAGTTTTCTGCAGCCCATTCTGAGAAGCACGATACAGTTTCACACTAAGCAAGAAGTTATAAAAATGCATTTTATAAACATCTTTGATCCAAAATGCATATATATTTGTTTGGCTTTTGCTTTTTGCTTTTCTTCATTAGAGGGAAGTAAGAAGTCATTGGCACAACACTTTTACCCATTACCTAGAAGGCAAGAGAAAGGTAAGAGTTAGGAGCTCTCTGTCCTGGCTCTCCATTGAGTCAACACACCTCTTCCTTTGCTTCTGTAAGCACAGTACCCAGCACAGTGCAGTGATGCTCAGGGGCTATAGAACCAACTGGTTCCCTTCTGCGAGTAAGGTATTCTCTCTGCTTCTGTTTCCTCAACTTTAAAATGAGATAAACCAGGGATGCCCGGGTGCCTCGGTTGGTTGAACGTCCAACTTAGGCTCAGGTCGTGATCTCACAGTCCGTGAGTTCGAGCCCAGCATCGGGCTCTGTGCTGACAGCTCAGAGCCTAGAGCCTGCTTTGGATTCTGTGTCTCCCTCTCTCTCTGTCCCTCCCCTGTTCACACTCTGTCTCTCTCTCTCTCAAAATTAAACATTAAAATAATAATAATAATAAAAACAAATAAAAACAGAAGGACAATTGGTGTGGATACAACAGTCCCACTTTAACTCCAATGATTTTCTTTTAATAAAACAAGCCAAGGGGCGCCTGGGTGGCTTGGTCGGTTAAGCGGCCGACTTCAGCTCAGGTCACGATCTCGCGGTCCGTGAGTTCGAGCCCCGAGTTGGGCTCTGTGCTGACAGCTCAGAGCCTGGAGCCTGTTTCAGATTCTGTGTCTCCCTCTCTCTCTGCCCTTCCCCTGTTCATGCTCTGTCTCTCTCTGTCTCAAAAAAAAACAAAAACAAAAACAAAAAGAAGTTTAAAAAAAAAAACAAAACAAAACAAAAAAACAAGCCAAGGAGACACCTAGATTGCTGGCTGCTTCTGAAACCAGTGAGATCAAAAGAGTCCGCACTTGGGTGCACAGATAGCTAGGGAACGGCCACGCCAGTCATTCTAACATCCAAACGATGATCTCAAGAATTACCCACACTATGTATATAAAGTAGTTAATGGGGGCCGGCATAGCTGAATTTAACACATGAATAATTTCTAAAGCATTCGATATTGCTAACTAGAGAGTCTACAGTCATTTTTTGGATATTTTCCAGTTGGATATCTTGTTTTTCTATATTTAAGCATTTCCTGATTTTCCCTCTGCTTCTATTGCTTTTCACCCTCCCACTCAGCTGTTCTCGTTGATGCCAATGCCTATAGGAAAAGTGAGCAGCAAAAATGGAAAAGAAGCAAGGCCAGAAGGAAGACAGGTCTAGAAAGGTTTCAGCAGATCCCCAGGTCCAGCCCCCTCTGGGAAGACCACTACATGCACCTGCGGAGAGCCTCCAGGAAGACATCTCCTCCCACAGCGTCGATGACCACGTTCACCCCATCACTGCCCACCAGCTTCCTCACTGCCTCCTTCAGGCTGCCCTGACTATAGTTCACGATGGACTGTGCACCCTTCCGCATCGCCAGCCTGCACTTCTCGTCACTTCCGGCTGCAGCTATTACCTGCAGAAAGAATACAAAGCTTTCGATGATCCAGAATATGTATCAAAAGGGGTTCACCCCACCCACCCAGCCTCCAACCACAAAGAGTACTAAACAAGGAAGCCAACGTCACCTTGCTACGCTAGCACCAGCCTCAATCCCACACGTCAGGGCCAACAGACAGCACCATCACACTGGCCCCTCTGTCCCCCCCACTCCCACTGGCCATGGGATCCACATTTCCTGGAATCCTGGAACGCCAATGAGTCTGGCTAGGAGATGGTTCAGGGGACACTCAGAAAGTCTTACCCAATGGGGCGCCTGGGTGGCTCAGTAGGTTAAGCGTCCAACTCTTGATTTCAGCTCAGGTCATGATCTCACGGTTCATGAGTTGCAGCCCCATATCAGACTCATGCTGACAGTGCGGACCCTTCTTGGGATTCTCTCTCTCCCTCCCTCTCTCTCCCCACCCCGCCCTCAAGTGCTCTATCTCAAAAAAAAGAAAAAAAAAAAAGTCTGAAAGTCTTCTCCAAATATGAATTAAACCACCTTTTAATGAATACCTACTATGAGTCAAGTAATAAAGATACCCAAGCTTAGAGTCAAGGTAGCAAGATAAAGCAGTATGATGATGGAGAAGTACAGACAGCTTCAGAAGTGCAGAGGAGAGGTATCCAATCTAGACCTAGATCACGAAAGGCTTCCCAGAGAGTAAAACATGACTCAGTGGAAAGATCTTGAAGCTGGAAAGACCTGAATTCAAATCCTGACTCTGCTACTAACTAGCAGTGTTACCTAAGACAAATTACTTAGCAAGAAATAATACTTACTTAATGTTACTATGTGCCAGGTACTATCCTAAATGCTTTATGTATATTAATAACTCACTTAGTCTTATCTTAATAGCCCAATGATACACACGCTATTAGCATCCCCATTTTAGAGATAAAGAAACAAAGGCAAAAGAAGTTCAGTAACTTGCCCAAGGTCACAGAGTTAATGGGAGGCAGAACTGGGATCCAACCCCAAGTAATCCATCTCCAGAGTTCATGCTTTTAACCTCTATTCTGTCCACCAGCTTCCCTAAACTTACCCATCTATAAAACAAGATTTATTTTTAAAATCAAATGGGGGGCACCCGAGTGGCTCAGTCGGTTAAGGGTCCGACTTCGGCTCAGGTCATGATCTCACGACTCGTGAGTTTGAGCCCCACATCAGGCTCTGTGCTGACAGCTCAGAGCCTGGAGCCTGTTTCAAGTTCTGTTGTCTCCCTCTCTCTCTCTGCCCCTCCCCTGCTCATGCTCTGTCTCTCTCTCAAAAATAAATAAACATTAAAAAGAATTTTTAATCAAATGGAATACTGTACATAAAGCACTTGGAAAACAAAGTGTTAGATAAATTGACTCTATTGTTACACATACACAATCACTTATTCTATTTAAACCTCATAAGAACATTATGGGGGAGGTATAATTCCTCCCATTCTATAGATGGAGACCCAGATCTAGAGGTTGAGTAATTAACCCAGAATTAGCCAGGCAGTTAAGTGGTAGAACAATTATGCAAACCCAATGCTGCCTGCCTCCAAAGCCCACGCTTTTCCACTCCACCACTCTGGGAGAAAGCCATGCTGAAAGCCTGGCAAAGATGGCCATGGGCCACACTGTGAGGAGGCTGGGGTTTGGAAGTCTCCAGAAGTCCTTCTAACACGTAAGTACCGCCTAAAAGTGCCTCATCACTGGATAGCACCCACCAGCCTGAGCAGTTTGGCCCCAAGGTGACATCCAGAACATGTATTCAAACACACAAGGACATCAATGCCCTTAAGATATTTCACACTCACCCATGACTCTTTGAAACTAAAAGCTACGCTCAGATACTCCCCAGGGGAACCCTCAAGTAGCTGCAAATTCACTGACGGTCTTCAGCACACAGTGCCACAGAGGGCTGACACCAGCCTAGGGTCTGGGACTTGAGGCCAATCTCGCTTCTCACAAGGTGCCAGGGAGGCCTGACACGAATCATGGTCTCCCCTGGTGGCTCACCTTCTTTATCTGTGAAATAGGGGTAATAAACACATTACCCATCTCCCAGGGGTGTGTTAGGATCCAAGGAAAGATAATTGGTGTGGAGGCACTTTGAAAGCAACATGAAATGCTGTGAATGGAAGGTGTTCTCAAAACAACCCGTTAGAAGTAGGTGGCCTGATGAGATTTCTAAAGTTGCTTTTATTATTTTGCTGTTGTTTGCATTTGCTTAAAACAGTTATGGCTGCTAAAGAAAATACAGCTTGGGTTAATTTTAATATCTGAATCAAAATGAGTTTTTCTCTCTACTTAACCTACTATAATGATCTAAACAAATGGTGCAATTTTATCTTCCACGAAATGTTAAATAGTCAGTGGTTCTAGACAATGAGACTAATTTTGGTCTCCCCACTGAGAGGTGCTAAAAGCCCTAGCTTTGACATGAAATGTGTTAATATTCCATGGAGAGCCTCCTGGTGCCTAAGATTGCTTTCAGAACTCACATGTGCTTCCCCAAAAGAACCTAAAGCGAGAAAGGAGAGGGGCCACCAGAAGAAATTCCAAGGCAATCCAGTTATCTCCAAACCTGTGTATCTTGGTGCCTTCTGGATACCCCAACTGCACGTTCCACAGAAACCTCACATTTAATGCCTCCAAACCTGAGCTCACCAGTTCCTCCTGTCTTCTCAACTGCAATAAATGGCAAATCCACACGTTAACCTAGTTTGCTCCTTCCCACTCAATGTCTAATAATAACCGGATCCCTTTTTAAGAGATTCTCGCAGACATGCCGTGCCCTCTAATAGGCGTGCTGCACGTGTAATTTCAATATTCCCACAACGACCCTATGAGGAAAGCTTTATTTTACCAATGAGGAAACTGAAGCAATTAAGCGAGAGGCAGAGTTGGAATTTGAACCTAGGTCAGACTAATTTCAAAGTCCTTGTTCCCTCAACTGTATTAGGGAATGCTCTCCCGGCATCAAACTCTATTCTTTTCTACTTCAATATCTCTCAACTCATTGCTTCCAGTGCCTCGGTTCCAGTATCATCACCTGTGGCTTGGATCACCCCCAAGAGGCTGCTCTACATGCCTCCAGACCACCCCTGACTTTGCCGCATTCCTCATCCCCCCTGCTACCAGAATGAACTTTGCAAAATGCAAATACAATCATGGTACTTCCTAGTTTAAAGTCTTTAATAGCTCTCGATGGCTTCCAATAAATGTTCAAATTCTTCAGCAGTGCATGATCTGGTCTCTGCCCACCTCCCTGGAGTCACCTCCCACCATTCCCCACACAGACCCTTTGTTCCACAGATGCTACCCGCAATTCCCTGAATGCAACATGTGACATTCCATGTCTCTGTCCTCTGATCTGCCCTTCCACCACTAAAATGGTCCTCACTTCCCTTCTTCCTCTGTTCAACTGCTACCAGTCCTTCAAAAGTCAGCTTAAATGTCTACTCTCTCCAAGAAATCCTCCTTATCTGATACCCACAGCCTCAGAATGATACCCCTACAGGGACTTGGGTCTTTGGTTCCTTTGTTTATTCTTTCATTTAAGAAATAGTTATTCGGGGTGCCTGGGTGGCTCAGTTGGTTACGTGGCTGACTCTCCATTTCAGCGCAGGTCTTGATCTCAAGGTGGTAAGATCAAGTGCGTCAGGCTCAGTGCTAAGCGTAAAGCCTGCTTAAGATTCTCTCTCTCCCTCTCTCTCTCTGACCCTTCCATGTGCACTCATGTGGTCACTTGCTCTCTCTCAAAAAAAAAAAATTATAGGGGCACCTGGGTGGCTCGTTCGGTTAAGCGTCCAACTTCGGCTCAGGTCATGATATCGCGGTCCATGAGTTCGAGCCCGGTGTCGGGCTCTGTGCTGACCACTCAGAGACTGGAGCCTGTTTCAGATTCTGTGTCTCCCTCTCTCTCTGACCCTCCCCCGTTCATGCCCTGTCTCTCTCTGTCTCAAAAATAAACGTTAAAAAAAAATTTTTTTTTTAAATATGTAAGAAATAGCTATTGAGTGCCTGCTATGGTCTAGGTACCATGCCAGGTGCTAGGACTACAATAATGAGCCAAAAAGACACTATTCCTGCCTTCATGGGGATTACAGTCAAGTAGGAAGGAGGCACTAATCCAAAAATGACAAAAGTAAAGGCTAGACCACACACTGAGTGTACCATGAAAGAGACGTACAGGATGCTATGAGACCATATACAAACAGCCAGGGGCTGGGATGTGGGGACAGATTACCATCTCCTGAGGGACAAAGAATACTTCCCTGAAAATATGACATCTGAGTTTAAATTTGAAGTGCGGGGGCAGACAGTTCACAAGAGCATTACAGGTAGAGGAAATGGAATCTGCAGAAGCCACGGGGCAAGTCAGGCCTTGCCAGGTTTTGGTAACCAGAAGGAAGAGTGATCTACTCCAAGGTCCCCTCATCAGTCTGCAGGCAAACAGATGGCAAGACCCTAATCTGAGTTACTTTATCTCCTCAGTGCCTTGCGCGTGATACTCATGGATGAACGAATGAATATATTCCATCTAGGTTTGAAAACTGGAGGAATGATTTTTTTTTTTAATGTTTATTCATTTCTCAAGAGAGAGAGTGGAAGCAGGAGAGTGGCAGAGAGAGAGGGAGACACAGAGTCGGAAGCAGGCTCCAGGCTCTGAGCTGTCAGCACAGAGCCCGACGTGGGGCTCAAACTCACGGACTGCGAGATTGTGACCTGAGTGGAAGTTGGACACTTAACCGACTGAGCCACCCAGGCACCCCAGGGATGACATTTTTTTTTTTTTTTAACAGAGAATCTAACATGCAAATACCTTAGCCTGAAGAACATTTGTTGCCACATCTATCACTGCAAGGCCTGTGGCTCCAGCTGCTGCTGTCACTAAAACAGTTTCTCTGCCAGAGAAAGATGAATATTACTTCGGAAAGCTTCAAAAATCATGCAACCATATGATTTCATGAACATTTTAAAGCCAGAAGAGAACTTCAAGACCATTTCACTCAACCCTTCACGGACACCCACTCTCCAGACTTTGGAGATGGGTTATGTATGTGACTGCTTGACCTGTGCGAATTTGGTCTGGTTGAAGACTTCCCAGGAAAAATATTCCTTAATCTCTCTAGAGGTTTCTCTCCAGAAATTCTGCCCTAGAATCATTCTCACGTTAAACGTTGCTGAATTTTAGAAGGCGTCGATCATGTAATGGTCACTGCTCAATTCAATGCTCAGGCTCTCTAAAAAGGGCAAGAGGCATATTATTTCAGGTAAAGTGAAATAAATTCTGTACGTTTGAGTTTGAAATACCCCAGGTAGGCACACACAACCAAGCTTCACAGAAACAAATGCCACAGGACTCTGTTAAAACCAGACTGGAGCGAGTTTACATAAACCAACTCTAAAATTTAAGGTTTGCTAGGAGGTGATCTCGAGTGGCCAGGTTTGAAAGACAGATCTCTCCCAATTCCTATTGGCCAAGTTCACAGTCTACCATTCCATCTCAGACAAAAGGATATCCCCACTATCAACAGACCCTTCTCTTGGGTCACTACCTTCCTTTGGCCCTTCCTCACATAGACTGGACAGGGAGCAGAGAGGAAGGGGCAAGGCCTTGGTGGGCACTTCTCATATCAGACAGAGACACCACCTAGCCCTCTGTTGTCTACGTAGTCTCTTACCCAGGCCGAGTACAGGCCCGATGCTCCAAGGCCAAAATAGCAGTGACATAAGATACAGGCAAGGTAGCAGCTTCTCGGAGGGGGACCCCTTCTGGAATCTGCCACAGTGTCTATAAAAAGAGATAACAGTAACTTAGGGATTAAGCACATGTACCTGTTCACAGAGGCTTCTCAGTAAATATTATGATCTGATTGACTGACTGATTCGCAAGGAAACCAAGCTTGTCAGGAACCATGCCCAGGGTAGAAGTTAAAACCAAGCAAGCTGCGACAGAGTTCAGAACTTGGGTGTACGAGTCTTCGAAGATCCTAAGGCTGGCATCTGGCTCAGGAAGGAACCCACTTTCAAAGAATGGAACCACACTGTCATGGGGATGAACTGGAAGGTTCTATACAAATTTTACCTGAATAAAGCTGTGAAAAAAAGTGTATGCTATTCACCACTAGGGGCCACCGTTCCCATCCTGTACAACCCTACCCCTCCACCCTGGCTGGCTCCATGCCCAGGACTCTTTCACAAGCTTCACGCAGGGGAGAAAGCTATTGTATCAAGCTCAATGCCTCAAACCAGTTTTTCTACCCAAACTACCTATGGTCCGATTGGACAGCCAACCAGCTGCTCCAGGCAGGCCTCAGAAAACAAAATGCCCTTCTTCCTTACACCACTCCACACAAACAAAGCTCTGTGCAAGGGTTGTCACACCAATATAGAAAATGGGTTTAGCATTCGAAAGAAAGAAGTGCTTGGCTGAGAAATACAAATACAAAAGAGAATACAAATACAAAAAAGAGGGAAAGAAGGCTAACAAGAAATGAGAGCTAGGTGGAAATTAAAGAGAAGAAAGGAGGAAAAAAATCTCCAAACATGAATATTGAGAGGTGGGGATACCTTGTGATCAATGATGCATTCTTCAGCCATTCCATTAAAGCCACTCACGCCAATAACTCGATCTCCCTGAAGAGAAAATACCATTAAGGGTACGTTCAAATGCACGGCCTTGCCATTTACCTCTTCCCAAATGCACCAAAACAAAAAAGAAAATCTTTCTTTCTGACCCCATAAGACACAGATTTGCCTGAATCATCTATTCAGAGTTAATGTTTAGTAAATAATTCAGCCACCTCCTCAATATCCCCACCAGGATGCCAAGACAGTAGGAGCACATTTTGGACAATGACAGGACAGTGTAAGGAAAAAGTTGATAGGAATTAGCATCCCAGGGTTATTTTTTTTTTTTTTCCACAAGAGGCTGAAACTTGAGAATTTTCTCTCCTCTCAGTAACTGAAGCCTGAGGTGCTGCCTTCTTTAGTAATAAAAAGTTTTACGAAGCCAGGAACTTCCACTGGCTTCCTGCCTCCAATTCAGAATTAGCTTCTTCCCCCTCCATCTCATTTTCGCTTTGGTGTCTGTTGGCGAAGGCCAAGAGAAGCAAGACCCTTCAGCTACAAATGAGGTTAGCACGTTTCTCACAGCTACACACACATCAATTCCCTGGATTTCAACTTATTTACCTCTTTCACTGTGCTGACATCCGTGCCTGTCTCCAATACTGTCCCCGAAAACTCCATTCCTAAGACAAATTGTTTAAACACTAGGTTATCTATAAAGCCTGGCACCATGGAGATGAAAAAAGCGTGATCAACAGGCCATCCTGTCAGCTTTCTAGAGCTGAGAGGGCTTAAGTGTTCCCCCACCACCCAGGCTAGAGGGGAAGAGCTTCATACCCAAGGCACAGGAAAGTGAACTTAAGATTTCATGATCACAACCTGAAAAGCTATGGCAGTCCTATTCTTACCAGACACAAAGGAAAATTTCAAGAATGGGCAAAAGCACAGAGAATCACAGGTACACAAGTACTTTTTCTCTTTTTAACATTTAGGGGCACCTAGTGGCTCAGTCGGTTAAACGTTTTTTTCGGCTCAGGTCATGATCTTGCGGTTTGTGAGCTCAAGCCCCGCGTCGGGCTCTGTGCTGACAGCTCGGAGCCTGGAGCCAGCTTGGGAATCTGTGACTCCCTCTCTCTCTGCCCCTCCCTGGCCAATGCTCTGTCTCTCAAAAAACAAATAAACCTTAAAAAAAATTTTTTTAACAGTTATTCATTTTTTGAGAGACACGGTGAGTGGGGGAGGGGCAGAGCGAGAGGGAGACACAGCATGTAAAGCAGGCTCCAGGCTCTGAGCTGTCAGCACAGAACCCGACACGGGGCTCGAAACCACGAACTGTGAGATCATGACCTGAGCTGAAGTCGGACACCTAACCGACTGAGCCACCCAGGTGCCTCTAGCACACAAGTACTTTTGATCTTGCTCACTGGGGCTTTGGGCTCCCTATAGCACCCCCCTTACAATGTTCATCAGATTGTATTTATCTGTTTCCAGTTCTCCTCTTGAGGGCTATGAGGACATGAACTATATTTATTCATAAGTACTTGGCTCAATTTGGATGAACTGATGTAGTCTGCTCTTTCCTCTTCCACCTCCAAAATTTCTGAATTTAATGATCACATATTTCCCACTTGAGCTTCAAGAGGAATAACTCAGTTGAGTATGACATTCCCCACCCCCATCCAGCATGTCAGCAAATGCAAACAGAGGGAAATGGTTCCAAATGTTGAGACACAACCAAACACCCCAAGGCCAAAACACAGCAACTATTTTGCAATCGCTGTATCCTTAACAGTATATGTCTATATAAAATATACATGTACTCTATACACAGTGAGCTATACTTCTATCTCTTTAAATAAATTTCAACAACAAAAAGCAGTCATTTGTCCACATATTCAGGATCTAAATGTAATCAGATTGGGCGTAATTAAAATCAGACAGTGGACTGCTAGAAATGTATAAACTCTTTTTTTTTTATTTCTGATTCTTTGATACTAGATTTCTTTAGGAATGTGTTTGTGAGGACTGAGAGCTTTAGCTGCAAACAGATGTTTATGATCCTTCAGTGAAAAAACAGAGGCACTAACAAGGAATGAAAGGGAATGATGAGGGCCAGTGAGGATTCTGATCAGAATTCTGGTGGACATGGTAAAACTTCATTTGTTCATTTCCTCATTTTTAACGTTTTTATTGAGGATCTACAATGAGCCAGGCACAATGAGCTAAAAACAGGGATATAACTGGGGGGCAAAACAGGTATAGAACCTTCCCTCAAGGAGCTCACTATCCAGAGCTCCTTTTTTTTTTTTTTTTTAATGTTTATTTTTGAGAGAGAGAGAGAGAGAGAGAGCACATGCACGGGAGGGACAGAGAGAGAGAGGGACAGAGGATCTGACAGCGCAGAGCCCGATGCGGGGCTCAAACTCACAAAATGAGATCATGACCTGAGCCAAAGTCAGATAATTAACCGTCTGAGGCACCCAGGTGCCCCCAGAGCTTCTTAATTAGTGGTGAGGCTGACATATCAGAGGCATCACTGCCGTCAGGCAAGCACCACCGGGGGTCGTACCCGAGGTGAAGCACATGGTTCTGAAAACTCTGTATCTTCTTTCCCAACCGGTCACTTGGTCCCTTCAGACTCACCAGGTGTGAAGGGAAGTTGAGGCTTTTCCTGATACTGACCACGGCAGACCAAAATATCAGCAAAGTTAACTCCACAGAAATGGACGTCCACTCTGACCTACAAAGGAAACGCAGCGGCAAAGTGGAGCGGTGTGCATCCATGGAGACAGAGTTCGGTCAATTACACCAAAATATCTTCTGAATGTCTACTGTATGCCAAGAATATATGCGAAGTGCCAGTGTGCAGTCATGAGACAACCCGGACAAGGTTCTTGCCTTCGTGGAGCTAGGAGTATGGTAGAGAAGACAGATATCAAACAAATAATTGTGATGATTTATTTGCTAAATTACAACTCCTACAAAAAAAATGTTATAGAAACATATGGTGCTATGAAAATGCATCATGGTGTGGTTTGACCTTTTGGAGACGTCAGGAAAAACATCTCTGAGTAAGTAACGCTGGAACTAGGAACAGCTAAGAGTTAACCATTCAAAAGAGGAGAGGGAAAGCCTGACACGACCAAAAGCGACGGCATGTGCAAAGGCCCTGTGATGGGAACAAAAGAAAAACCAGTGAGCTTAGAGCACAAAGAAGAGAAAGAGATGGGGCTACAGAGCAGGGACCACACACACCATCCAAGGGTCCACAGTCTTTACTGAGGATCTTAGTCTTCACAGTAGGAGCAGTGGGCAGCCATTAAAGGATTTGAAGCGGAAGGATGACATGACCAGCTGTTGTGGGGATCAGCAATTACCCTGGAGGCTGGTTCTAGATCCCCAGCTTCTGTGTTTCATGACCGTGCTAGAGCAGAGGCAGGCCTGAAGCAGTGTAGCCCACACTCTTGTAAGCCGGCGGTTCTCCAAGTCTGGTTCCAGAACCACCAGCTTTACTGCTACCTGGGAACTTAGGAATTGAAATTCTCAGGCCTCACCCCAACCTAGGGAATCAGCAACTCTGGGGACAAAGCCTAGCAATCTGCTTTAACAAGTCCCAGGTGATTTTGACACCGGCTGAAGTTAGAGAACAGGGCCAAGAAACAGGAGGAAACAAAGGCTGTGAGACAGAATCGCTGACATCTGTCTACGTGCTTGCTTCCATTTCCAGTTTAGTGCAGAGGTGGCCATGTTGGTGAGAAGGCGTCTCCATGGGCAAAATGCATCCATTCAACAATGTGTTGAGCGCCTGCCGTGTGCCAGGCACCATTCCAGAGTATGAGGATTTAACGGTGAGTAAACTCACATAGACCCAACTCTCATGAGCTAATTCCTTCCCAGGCAGTGTCTGGGCAAATAACAGAACAAAGGAGCCCAGCTTTCAGCCCGCCCACACTGCGTGCATGACACATCAGTTGTTGACATGCATGCCACTCTTAGGTCCTCAAGCCACTCCACCTTGCTTCGGGGATGAGTCAAGAATAAATGTCTTTCAGCACCCAAATCCCAGGGAGCAGGCTGCCATCACACACCCGCCCAAATAATCCATTTGGCAACAGGGTCCCTGTTAGTGATGCTTCTGGGCTGCAGCCGCATTTCTGCCTCTCACCAGGGATCCCTGACAGTAAGGCTCACTGTTCGCTCCACCTTGTCAGAGGTTCTCATTCTCCATTAGAGATGACACTGTGTCACCAGAGTGGTCACCGTGGTCACCCGGCAGGGCCAAAGTGACTTCCACATTTCGCCGGAAACGCCCACAATCCTAAACTAACCCCACCCCAAATCACTGCGCTACACCGAAGGAGGGCACAAGGCACATGGTTAGGAAGAATTATAGGACAGATGTTACCGGACTGGTCTGGGGGAGGAGAAAGGACAGATCAGGAAATGCTTAACGCTGAAGAGGAAGCCATTGATGGGGTCCATTTATGTTTGTTAAACCAATAACCTGATGCGGTCATGAAAAGTCGTGTGCAAATCAGAATTGTATCTTTCTAAGGCAACAGCTCTGGAGCCTTCAGAAAGAGGCCTGCGTTTGAATTTGGGGGAGCAATCTTCCTTCAGCACTTGTGGCCTTTTTGTGAACCCTGAAAGGGCCCTTCCCGCCCAGGACAGAGTTGCGCTCCAGTCTCCCGGCCTCCCCCTAGCTGAGCACTTGGGAACTCCGTTCAGGACGGAAGCCTGCGGAGCGTGTGGTGGCTGCCAAGCGGAGGGCGAAAGTGGGTGTCAGGCATCCCGGGGACAGGCCAGTCACCATCCTACCTCGTGAGGCCGGACGGGGCGGGAGGCGACCTCCTCGATGGCCAGGGGCTGCTTCAGCTCGGCGCAGAGCGCGGCGCGGTAGTGGCGGCCGCAGCCAGGCCCGGCCCTCCTGCAACACAGAGCAAGGGTCGGTTACTACCCACCCCCCGCCCCCGGTTGTCTGACTTTCGGAGCGCAGGGGGAAGTCGGGGCACCACCTGCGAAGCCACACCCGAGGGAGGCACCGTCCCCAAGCCACGGCCGCCATGGCCCGGAGCGGAGAGGCGCGGAGGGGTGGCCCGGGGTGGCAGGAAGCGCGGGACAGCGCCGGCCCCGCCCTGGCCCCCGGGATCGCGCGAGAGCGTCCCACCCGGCTGACCCCTGTGGCCGGAACCGCGCCCGGGCCACCCCTGGGCCACCCCACCCGCGGGGCGCCGTGCGTCCCCAAGTGTCTGAGCGGGGTGCGCGGACCCCGGGGCGCCCGAGCCCCTAAGGCCCCTGGCTCCCTGGTGGTGGAGCCCGCTGGAGAGGAGAGAAAACAGTAAAAGCAATAGATCATCCGACCTTAAGCTATTGTTCACATTTTGCTAGCAAATTTGGGAGACTTTTAAAACCACACTTGGTGACATTTAAATAGCGGTTGTTGGGTCCTCTGCACTTGGGAAATCCTAAATGCGCAGGTAAAGGCTTTAATGTCTGCATCAGCACTTTACTGGAGTTCAATTCTTGTTACTAATTTTCTCACACTTGCACGACTATTAACATAAAACTGTATGGTTAGTAGTTGATCCATTGTTGAATGATCATGCACAGATCCAAGAAATATTTTCGATTAAAGTCAGGCCCAAAGCTGGTCGTTTTTTATGTTCCTGATGCCTGTATTATGCCTGGCACATAGATGGTCAATAATTGACCCAGTGACTACAGAATTCCTAAGTGAACAGGAATACTCTGGAAAAACTGAAAACTTAACAATATGATCGGTGAAATATTATAAAACTGGGTAGATTTCTAACAGTAACCAAATAGCAAGAGAAGCACGTTTTCCTGGGAAGAATATTTCATTTGACAGGTGGCTTTTAAACACAGCTCGATGTCTTTCGAAGAGATCTGGTCAAGGAACACAGCCTCTCAGTTTCAAGCCCGGCTCTAGCACCTGTCTGTGGTTTCATGCCACCTTTGGCAGGACACCTGATGGCTGTGGGCCCCAGTATCCTCCGCTACAAAGGGAAAGCATGGGACCGGATAATTCCCAAATTCCTAAATCCTCTTTCTATGTTTTGGTGAAAATAATGGTCCAAGATAGCAAATGACCTGGAAGGAATGATCAGGAATGGAATAAAGGGAAAATAGCCAACATGAAGTAGCAATGAACTTCTGAGATTATGGCCTAGAAGCTTTGGTGGGAAAGGAATCCAAGAACTAGATCCCTAATGTAGTAGCGACTCACTGTTATTTTAAGAGCACTCACAGAGAATTTGAAAAGTCATTTTAGCCTCTGGCCGCCTCAGGAGGAAACTCAGGCCGAAGAGGAGCGAGGACGACAAAGTGAGAAGACGAGAAAGCATTCTGGTTGCCAAATAACAGTGAGCAACAGGAAATCTCAAGTCTACGAAGTGCGAAACAAGCGTCGATTGTTCTGAGGACAAAATGAGTTGTTACATATGGAAAATGTTTTGTAAAATATTAGGTATTTATATGAGATATAAAGCAAGCAATTTTTAGTTGAACTCCTTGAAAGCAGCAACCGTTTCTTCATATCCTTTATGTTTGAAGTACTTTGCACACGCAACCCTTTTAGGCATTTAACACATGTTTATCTAATGAATTGTTGGATGAGCGTTCAATTATCTTGTGTCAATATTCCAGATAATTGAAAATATCTTTAAGCATCAAGTCTTTTCTTTTCGATTAAGTATTTTTATGGAGATTTTTCTCTATTGTGCTTTTCATGATATCCTTGTCATTCTCAGAGAATATGAAAATTAGTGAGTTTTGGGGAAATCTATCAATACTGCCTTCTACATTTCTAACGGTATCTGAAGAAAATAGTGAAAGTCCCTTTAAGAAGACTCTTGAAGGGAGATGAAAGTATCTTAACTAATTGAGGTGATTTGAAGCATTTATATGCAAAATCACTTTCACATTTCCAAAGAGCTTCAAAGGTAAGTGACAGGGCAGCAACAGTAGTTGCTATAGTAGCAAAAGAAATATTTAGCCTATCCATCAAAGTGCTGCCATCACACCATTCCGTCTAGTTTTGTTATCATTTCTGGTTATTTTGTTTTAATTGAGGGTACAGCGGAAGAGTGGACAGGAAGAATAAAATTTGAGCCCTGAGGAAGACTAAGACCAAGCAGCTATATCTGAGCCGATCGGTCCTCTGAGAAGAAAAAATCCATAGCTGCCCTGCAAACCAGTTTGAGGGGCTCATTAGGAAGTAAAAGAGTAACAGATGACTCTTCCTTCTGGTACAACTCACATGAAGAGATAATATTTAACATCCAGAAGCTGCTGGAGGACAGAGGAGGGAGAAGAAAGCCAGAGCTGAATACACAAACAGCTATATTTTCACAGAATAATGGACAAATCATATACAAACAATATAAAGCACTGAACAGGACTATGCTGAAGATGTAAAAGTATCCCCAGAGTTAAAATGCTTTCTCCAGGAGCACCTGGGTGGCTCAGTTGGTTAGGCCTCTGACTTCGGCTCAGGCCATAATCTTGAAGGCCATGAGTTCGAGCCCCGCGTCGGGCCCTGTGCTGACAGCTCAGAGGCCGGAGCCTGCTTCGGAATCTGTGTCCCCTTCTCTCTCTGCTCCTCCCCCGCTCGCACTCTGTCTCTCAAAAATGAACAAATGGTAAAAAAAAAAAAAAAAATTTAAAAATTTTTTTTAATCTTTATTTATTTTTGAGAGAGAGACAGCATGTGAGCAGGGGAAGAGCAGAGAGAGAGGGAGACACAGAACCCGAAGCAGGCTCCGGCCTCTGAGCTGTCAGCACAGGGCCTGACGTGGGGCTCGAACTCATGAATTGTGAGATCATGACCTGAGCCGAAGTCGGACGCTCAATTGACTGAGTCACCCAGGTGCCCCCCCGCCAAATTTTTTTTAAATAGATATAAATCATTACCTTCTGCCACAAGTACGTCCTCCAAGATTCCTGAAGTGTGTGGGAGTAGTTTGCCTTCTCACTGAATTCCTGCAGACTGTTCTTTCTGATTGTTGCAGTTGGGATTAACTTTTATCAACCACAGGGATGAACTTTGGTTATTGATACACATAATACATATTGACCTTCCTTTCTATTCCAAGAACTGTGTAAGATTTGCTATGTCACTTACTTGCTCCAACATTCGTGGAGTCATAGAATTTCAGAGCTGGGATTGATCTTGGAGATAATTCAATCCAACTGCTTCATTTACAAGCGAGAAAGAGGAGGCTAAGGGAGAGACTGGTCCAAGGTCACGCTGCGAGTTAGTGGCAAGAGTAGTGTCAGGATCTGGCTGTCCTGATTTCCTGTTTGCTTCTCTTTCTACTGAGCTTTTTGGAATTCACTTGGCATTATACATCATCATCATAATATTTCACATTTTCATAGCATTTCATAGGTTGCGAATCACTGTCGCCCAAATTGTTTCACCCTGCCGTTCTTAACTGGTAACATTACAAACCAGTCGCTAAGTGCTTTTGCATTATTTCATTAGCTCTCACAATAGTCCTACTACTGGTATACTGTTTTCCCTCTCTTATGGATCAGGAATGTAGGCTTAAGGAGGTTAAGTAAGTAACTTGCCCAAGGCCACGCAGTTAGGAAATGGAGCCATTTAGAAGCCTCCTAATTGCCTGATGCTGGAGCTACAACACGGTATCCGGGTATCCAGCTGCCCACTGTGCCTCCCCTCACAACCACCCTCCAGAGCAGACGAAGGAGGTTTTGTACGATACGTTTTAAAGCCATGCTTTGTTTGTAGTTTTAAGCTTAATTGTATGGGAATTTTACAGTAGTTCCAGCCTAGAAAATGGACGAATTCCCTGAGGGAGAGAATATAGAGAAAGCTGCCTCCAGGGATGCCTGGAGTTAAGAGACAAGAGCAGGAAGAGAACATATAATTAGGAGTTACTACCCTATTCCGTGTAGCCATAAGCTTGAAAATGCATTGATTTCATTTAAATTTATAGCATGTGAGATAAAAACTGTGACTATGTGAAGTAGTTTTTACTCACACACACACACACAGGATTTTAACGAAACAATGTGCTGACTAGGTTGCCATCGCTTAGGCAGGTACCAGCAGGCATTTGGGCTAAATTCCTGGCACCCGGATGGACCAATCTGGAAGCAGTGATGACGTGGACAATGGCTGCCATGGCCCCGCAAACTAACCACCGGTGCTTGACGCAGGGATCTATTTTCCACCTTCAACCATAATTATGGAACCAGTTTACAAGTTCCCAAGCATTCTGGCAACTTTATGAAACTTTTCCAACCCCTCCTCCCCCAGAGAGAACAAATTCTTCCCTTCCATATGTCTTCCCAAAGAACTTTGTAGAAACCTGTATTAGCTTGCTAATTTCATTGTTCGGGTAGTATTTATTTGTCTTTCTATTCCAGCAGCTAAGCTGTGAGCATCGTGGATGGTTGTGAGACCAGCAGAGCAAAAATAATTTGGGCCTTGGAATCACGTGTACCTACGTGTGATTCCTGGCTTAGCTATGTACTTATTGTGACCTTGGGCAAGTTATTTCATCTCTCTGGGCTTCCATACACTCATGTGTAAAGTGAGCATAGTAATCCCCACCTCAGGTGGTACTTGTGAGAATTAAACAAGGTAAGAGAGGACATGGCAGCACCCAATAAATGGCAGCTCCTACTATGAAGACAGTCCCTGCCCTTGAACCTCTCACCATCTAATGGAGTGAGGCACATTTAATTAGGCATCAGAGATGCCAGTGATAGGTACTGTGACAGAGGGCTACAAAGGGGGCTGGGACAGCACAGGGGAAGGTCAACCTCCCCCAGCTGGAGACCATCATTTCAAGAGAACCTCCCAGAGGAAAGATGAGGAAGAATTCAGCAGACAGTAGGCACAGCTAAGTGAGTCCCAAGCAAAGGAGTGCAGGAGAGAGAATGTAGCACGTTCAAGAAATTGTAAGTGGTCAGCTGTGACTGAAGTTATGGCTTGAGCTGGCTGGTGAGTGTTGAGAGACCAGGCTGCAGAAGCAGATAGTGATGTAGAAAGGGCATAGGTTTTGGAGTGAGGCAGTCGGGAATCCCAGCTTCACCCACTTCCCAGCCACATATCCTCATCCAAGTCTCTGTTGCCCCATTTGAAAAGTGATTGT